AAATCCACATAAATGAAAAGGGGAAGTAAGCTACAGTGAAACTAGATACACAAAGTATTGTCATATGCAAATTGGAAGAAAAAAAGTTTCCTTCAAATCTGTTTGAGTTACAGTAATTTTGTTGGGTTTTTTTTTTACTTGTAACAATCATAGTTCAAAATAATAGAGAAGAGTGATCTATTTTTAAGTTGAATAGTGTTCCTTTGAAATAGCATGACTGTCCCTTGTGCCCTTTTATACAAATTCCAGTGGCTCTTCAAGGAACAGTGTCAACTTGATTTTTATGTCTTCATATTTTTAAGCAACCCATTTTCTGATGCACTACACTTTAAATAGCCTGTCTTGAAACTATATATTTTAAATATTCTTAGAAAAGAGATCCCAGACCATACTTGACAGATGTTTTTATAACATCCTAAAAACCTGCTGTGCAGGAGATTTCACAACCTGCTTAAGTAACCTGTTTTAGGCCTTAATGATCCTCATGGTTAGAAAGTTTTTGTTACGTATGTCCTAAATTGGCTTAATTTGTAGCAGTTGAGATTTCTTTTTGTACAATTCCTGGTGGACGTTGATCTGTCCTTTCTGTTTTAGAAAACTTGTGTTCTCCTCTGAGTATATATGTCTGTTTGCTCAGTTACAGTGCTAGGTAGTGCTGTAATGAGATCTGGTGTGCCTACTCTGTAGTGACCACCTTAGTGTGGTTCTGAGAGGATGAGTTCTTGTACAAACGCAGTGCTTCAGTACTATACTTCAGTTTGTCAGATACACTATGCCTCCTCTGCAAGCATTATCTCAGTTAAATATAGCTTGGTGCCTCATTGAACAGTACAGCTACACTATCATTTTTTTTTAATTTTTTTTTTTTTTAGACAAAACAGACTGAACCTGTGTACAATATTTAGGCAGGATTTGGGTTGAAGTACTGTTAAATGCACAGACAAACAGACTTGTTAAAATATTTTAAAACCTTTTTATAGTGTTACACAGAAGTATACTAGGTGAAGATTATTCAGAGAAAATATTCAGATACGGTTTCTCTTTCACTAACCTCCTCTTTCCCTTCTCTTTCACTATCCGCCTCTTTCACTTCTCCCCCAAGCCATTTATTCCCAAGGTGGGAGGTATTTTGCAGTGATGGTATCGAAAGTATTAGTTGGGAGACCCAGCTAAACCTCTCATTTCTCCTCTAGAGTCTGAGATTTGGTTTACAAAATATTAGTGTCTGCTTTTTTATGGTTGTGATGAAAAACTGAGGGAAATGTGTATCTGAGCATGCATGAAGCCTGGAAAACTGGAGTTGTGAACTGTCTGGTTTACTTCAGTGGGTGCTATCTCAGTAATAGTTGGACTGTCAACATTGTTCATGGGGTATTTTCATGTCTCATTCAAACATGCCAGAGAAGTGGGAAAGAGGCTATATGTGCCATTGTTTCTTACAGGGGGTGCTCTCCTGAGGGGGATATGGTAGACAAGATGGCATGCAGGAGAACATGTTAAATTATTGTAAATGACTTGTGTGTTTTAATTTATATGATGCACCAGAGTGGTAGGGTAGTTGGACAGTTCATTATCTTGAAGTGGTGCTCAGGTTTTAAAATAGGAAATGCCATAAGTACTGAATGAGGGAGGCATGAGTACTGAAACAGTAGTGGTATAAGTTGTAGTTGTGTTGGTCTAAGGACGTAGGAAGACAAGGCTCTTTGGGTAAATCTGATATCTTTTATTAGACCAACTCAGATAGTTGGAAAAATTCTTCTCTGCAAGCTTTCGGGTACAAGTACCCTTCATCTCATCCTGATGAAGGGTATTTGTACCTGAAAACTTGCAAAAAAAGAATTCTCCAACTATTTGAGTTGGTTTAAAAAAGATATCAGATTTACCCAAAGAGCCTTGTCTGAAAAAAATAGTTGCACATTGTGTCAAACTGTTATATTGCATAGTGGATCGCCTTAACCTAGTTGGTAAATTGTTTTCATTCTGTATTTACTGTCTCTTCTTAATTAGTAATTCACCTAGACATTATTTTAACAAGCCACAATACAAATATTATGATGGGCTCACCCTGTAACAGCTATTGACTAAGACAGGGCTGCCCAGCTTGTAAGTGTCCACACCATGCAGGCAGGCAATTCCATTGCTGCACTGTGCTGGGGATGCGCTGCCAGGAAGTGAAAGCTGAGGGAGGCAGGGAGAGCCTAAAGACCCTGGCTATAGCAGCAGCCAGACAACAGGGGAGGCAGTGGCTGGACAGGAACTTGGGGGCTGCACATTAACCGTTGCCAGTTTGACAGCCCTGGACTAATAAATGCCATTCCCAGCAATATATGATGCTGCTATACTAATTTGGGAGTAAACTTGTTTTATCGGTGGCAGGTCAGGGTGCTGTGCCTTATAATTGTGTGACAAGGCTGTTTGTGCAGTTTTCATAATAGATCAGAGAAGGATTTGTGTGGGATGGTTTGGATAAGGATAATCCAGCCTCAGACAGGGAGCTCGACTAGATCAGGGGGTAGACAAGTGGTATGAGCAGCCCGTGTGTGGCATGAGGCAGATTAGGGAGGGGACAGGCAGTGCAATAGTAGATAGAGTAGAAAGCAAATAGCCAATCAAGCAGGGAACACAAGGAAGGAAGCAGAAAATGGAGCAATAGATTGGGCAGAGAAAGGGGATTGGAGTGGCACTTGGGGAAGGTGCAGGGCTAATTTGTGGCACTTCTGCCAAAAAGGTTGACTGCTACTGGAGTAGATGATTTCCAGAGGTCCCTTGCAACCCTACTTTTCTGTGATTCTGTGAAGAACAACAATGGTAATTTTAATATTAATTGGAATATGGGAGGGAAGGAAAATCAATATTTGCCAAATAGAAAAAAGTAAGGAAAAGAATCAGCAGAAAAAAATTGTTTTAGTGCTCTGTAAGTGTAGGATAAACAGTGCAGGAATAAAAACTATTTAAAAGTACTTGACATGAGTTTTTAACCTTTCCTTCATCCTTTGTGAGCCAGAACACTCAAAACCACTAGTGTTTTGATTACTGAAGAGCAAATTGAAACATTAATTAAAACCATTTTAAGAAAAAATTGCAAGATCAGTTTGTACAATATTGGGCACTCAAACATTTATGTATAGGGATGGGATAGGGGTGGGGGGATGTAGGAAATAAATTACTGTATTTACCCAAATTCAGGATGACCCCCCCCACTCAATAATGAGATTGTGTACATGGAAAACCAATACATTTGTTATAATTTTTCATGTATAGAATCTAATCATTGGAGGGTCATCTTAAATTCACGCCCCTCCCCCGGAATGGGGCAAGCAGTGGTGGGGATGGCAACAGGGGAATGAAGCAGCCTTCTGCCTGTCCCCTGCACCACTTGCCCATCTGGCATCTGTCCCACACCCATAGTTCTTGTGCCCCTGGCACTTGCCCCTTATGTGCCCCTCCTCTCCCCACTGCTGCTTACCCTGAGTTGTGGCTCTGCTTCAGCCTGGGACATGGAGCACATGCTAGCTCTGGCCCCTGCCTGACTAGGCAGCAGTGGTTTTAGCAGTGGCAGCTCTGGGATTGGGTTGGAGCTGGGGTTGAGACCAGGGCCAGAGCTGCCATCACTCTTGCTGGGCTGGGTGGGGGCCGAAGCAAATGTGTGCTTTGTGTCATAGGCCAGAATGGGCCAGAGTTACAGCTACAACTCGGGGAAAGTGGCAGGGAGGTGGAGGGGAGGGTGGGTGAGGTGCTGAGGGGCAGGCAACATGGGAAGTGGTGGAAGCTTCCATGGTTTTGGAGTCAGGGCCAGTGCCACAGCAGCCACCTGTCCATTCCCTCCCCCTGCCTCCCCCCACCATATACTCAATTCTAAGACAAGGGACTTTTCCAATAGGGGACAAAAACTTAATCTTGGATTCAGGTAAATATGGTAACTCAAAGGGACATGTTCATGATATTTATTTGCAGAATCTTGGAGTTTGATGCTGCCACTTAAATAATCTGAGTTTTACTGTAGACTATACTGAGAACAGGTTTTGGTCCTTGCATAGCAGATTTATAGGCACTGAATGGAGGGGTTAACAGAAGTGGAAAATGATCATTAAGTACTCCATCATGATGGGAGATCCAGTAATAACATTCTCTAGACCTATTGTGATGGCTGTTACTAAACCCTGGTGGATACTACCGTGTATAACATGAATAGCAGCAGGCTTATGTTTTACATTGTGGATTTGTAAAGCGTGTTTTTCACTTAGCAGAAATATGTAAAACCATATTAATAGTGAAGAAAACTCTAGCCAGCATTTAGAGTTTGTTCACTTTCTTCCTTTCTCTTCTTTACAGTGACTTCTTTGAACGCACCATTCTGTGTAACAGCCTTGTGTGGAGTTGTGCTGTCACGGGTAAACCGGGACTCACATATCAGGAAGCACTAGAATCGGAAAAGAAAGCAAGGCATAATCTCCAGAGTTTTCCAGAGGCACTTATAGTTCCAGTTTTATACTTGGCCACCCTTACCCATCGCTCACGACTTCATGAAATCTGTGATGAAATCTTTTCTTATGTCAAGGATCGATATTTTGTTGGTGAAACGGTGGAAGTAATTAGGAATAATGGTGCAAGGTAAATACATTTTAAACATAATTTTCTTGAAATGTGTGTATATAGTATGCATTTTTTTTAATTGAGGTTACAAATTATTGCACACAAGATCAAGTACAGTGCCTTTGGGTACCCATTCTATTACTGCTACTTATTGTCTTGGATTCTAGGCTGAGTGTCTCATGCTTTGGTCTACTAAGTGCTGTAATGGTTGTGGAGGCAGGACACCTGTACACATTGTCCATCAGCTCTTTCCAGAGAAGTCTTTTTGATTTAGAAGGGAGCACATCCTGCCCCTGTCAAAAAGCTACTGCAATGCAAAGAGCAAGTTGGGATCTGGGAGGCTGAACAACTCTTCAGAGTCCAAGAAAAGGTGTTAAGTCACTCAGAGCCAACTGAATGGAACACAGGGAAACTTTTGCAAAATTTTAGGCTATAGAGTGTGAAAGTGATGATACAGACATTGTAGGTAAGCTATATTGGTATATGTTAAACATAATAGAAAGATTTGGAGTGAGATGTAGTTGTCAACCAGGGAAGTTATGAATAAATGCTAAGGATTCTCTCTTGGGGCTTGTAAATCATCAGCTTTAGTTTTGTAACTCCAAAAGTAACAGAACTTGAGAAAACTGAAAGAAGCAATTTAAGCTGGATTTTTTTTTTTAATTTTAGAAAAGATAAGAAATTTCTAGCTCAAGAATATGGTCTTGATACCCCCGGCACGCATGCCAAGCATGGCATGTGAGGCCATTTTCCTTGGCATGCATCGGGGCTGGGGAGGCAGTAGCTGTTTGCAGCCTCCAGGCTGCAGCCAGC